AGTTTGAGGGAGTAGTTTATGTTCCAAAAGACAATTTTCTTGTGCTAAATTAAAGGAATGTACACCACTGCTTAGCTTTTAGATCACTAGAACGTCATAGCCCGTTTACTCTATTCTGAAAGGTCACATTTTATGTTTTTTTGTTTCTAAATACCTTCATCTAAAAAAATAATAAAATCTGATTATACAGGAGACTCATTCCTGTGGTAAAAGGAATAAACATTACCAAAAAAGGATGTAAAGTTATATTTAAGAAAATCAAAATTGATTGAAGGGATTTATAAAGTGATGAGAGCCTCGTGATGTAAACACGGACATGGAGGGACTCTCAGTCAACGGGATAAGCATAATCTCAATATGTATGACATTTATTTTATTTTGAATGTATTTAGCCTGCTACGTCACGCGTCTGCATCAGTTACATGTGTCCCGCTTCATTTTATACGCTTTAAAGAAGATAAAAAGCTTATGTAACATTTCGATAACTTCCATAGCATGGCTGTCCAGTTCCTTAATCATTAATTTAAAATTCATTCGGTTTAAACTAGCAACTATATTTTGGAATATACGCTGTGATTCTAAGATTACTTGTAAGATGTTATAGTCCCTGTTATTTCGATTAGTTTGCGACTCAAAATAATATTAGAACACCAAGAAGCAATAACTCAGGCAAAGGCGAGTCCCAGCCGAGACTGCGGAGGCAAGGGCGTCTCTCCTGCCCCCAGGTCACCCCCTGTCCCTCTCTCCCACACCTACACCCCCCACCTCACCCACCTACACCCTCAACTCACCTACATACACCCCCACCTACACCCCCCACCCCCAACTCACACACCTCCACCCCCCCATCTACCAACACACCCACCTACACCCCTACCCCAATTCACCCCAACTCACCCTTCTCCCCTCCCTCCCTCCCTCCCCCCCGCAGCACGAAAACCCTCGCCCTGAACCTCAACACCTGGGGAGACAACCGCGCCGGGGGTTGGAGGCTCACGGTCCTCAAGTGCAAGGCCCACGGATCGACGCTGAAGGGGCGTGTCGAGTCGAGGTACGCCGAGGAAGAGTGCGCCGTCGTGCCTGGCGTAGGCTGTGAGAACTGCTCGACGCAAATTCGAGTCGACGCCGACTTCGACTTGGATGCCTGCTATGTCTTCCATGTGAGTTTGGAGTAGATGTTTTGTTTATTATCATCGTCATCATCATCATAATAGACATCATCACCATCATCATCGTCGTCGTCACCGTCATCGTCGTCGTCGTCATAATCATCATCATCATCATCATAATCGTCATCATCATCATCATCGTCACCATTATCATCTCATCGTCATAATCGTCATCATCATCATCATCATCTCCATCGTCGTCGTCGTCATCATAATCATCATCATCATCATCATCATCATTCATTTAAATCTGACATCAGGTTGATCTGCTATAATCTTATGAATGATTATGACGCGTTTTTGTTTTTCTGTGCGAATGGGTTATGGAAAGAAAGAGGAGAAGGAATGGAGGGAAGGAGAGAGAGAAAAGAGGAAAGGAAAGGAGAGGAAGAAAGAGTGGGAGAGAGAGAGAGAGAGAGAGAGAGAGAGAGAGAGAGAGAGAGAGAGAGAGAGGGAGAGAGAGAGAGAGAGAGAGAGAGAGAGAGAGAGAGAGAGAGAGAGAGAGAGAGAGAAGACAAGAGACAAAGCAGAAAGAGAGAACACAAGAAAAAAATATCTGAAAGGACAAAGAAAAAAGAAAAAGAAAAGAGGGGAAAAATAATATTTTTCCTCTCTCCCGTAGCTGGACCCAATAGATAAGGCCAATGCATGCCGGTTGCATAAGGACAACGAATACTTCACTCACCCAGACGGCTGCTACCCCTCGGCCCTAGCGACGCCACAGCCGCCAGAGGTGTAAGTCCGCCTTCCTCTTTTTCCCTTGTCTCTTGTTGGTATTGTTGTTGTCTTCTCTTCCTACTTTTATCCCCTATTTCATCGTATTCATGTTCTTTTTTTTACTTTTCTTTGGCTATGGACTCTTAACTTTTTTTTTTTTGTATCTTCACTTTCTTTTTTTCTCTTCCGTTTTCTTCGCGTCGTTCAATATATATCCCAGACTGTACTTTTTTTTTGTTATCTTATCTCCCGTTTTATCCTGTGCATATTCTCCTTTATCTTTCGTCTAGTACGGACCCTCAACTTTATCATTTTTCCTTCTTCTCTTCTTCGTTTCTATTTTTTTCACTTAACTTTCTATTTCCCCCAAATAAATTAAATGTCCCAGACTGTACCCTTGATATCAATGCCGTTCCTTTTTTTACCCTATACATATTCTCATTTATCTTACTTTTCTTTCATACTTTTTTCCCCTTCCTTTCTTCTTCTCTCCTTTCCTCATTCACCCATTTTTTCCCCAATAAATTTATGTCAAAGTCTGTACACTTGTCATCACTGCTGTTCCTTTTAGGAGACTGACAGCCCTGTGGTTCGTGATCCTTGACGTCGGAGTG